TTCTATTGATGAGCTGAGCACACCTCTCCTCCCCACCTCTGTTTATTACCACAAGTAATAAATGTATTAGGCACCTGCTTTTTCACAAACACTACACCGAAAAAAACAAAACATGCTTCCACATGAAAATATAAAGGTAGGACCTGAAAAGAGAATAAGTCTTTATATTCACTGTTTTTGCGAGAAATAAAAGCTCTGCATTAACGTCTGCATAAAATGCATAAAACCGATTTCTTGAAGACTCCGCACATATGCTGGGAGAAGAACCCAAATTGCTCGGGTAAGTGTGTCCCTGAAGCATGAATTTCATTTTTCACACCTCACCTGTTTCTGAGCTCTGGGATTTCTCCAGCAGGAACTCTCGGATTCTTTCCACCCACAGGTAGAGGATGCTCTCCCCGGCATGCTCCCTGCAATTAAATATCTCTGTGAGAAGGAGGATTGACAGACTAGATGGTGGAGACAATCGTTTAAGGATTCTGTGGAGAAGAATTTGTCTGAACAGTTTTCCTGGGTGAGGTTAGAAAAGAGAAGCACTCACACGTAGAGGTCTTCTAGGCTGTTTGCCAGCTCGGTCCTCTCTGGGCCTCGCAGCCACGCAGCACTAAAGAAAAACAAAGAGGGTTACAAGATCCTTTTATCAATTCAGTGAATCACATCGAGATCACATCTGAAAGACAAATCGACTGACTTGATCTGATAGATGGGCGGGGCAGCGCTGGGGTAATCAGGTGGGAGAATTATCTGATTTGTAAGAAAAACAGAAAAAACAGATTACAAACAAACTGCATGAAAGATTCCTATGAAAACACGCCAAAGTTGTTTTGTTTACCTGTAAACATGCCGTCAGTTTGGGATCGTCCAAGCCGTTGGATATTTTGATGCAAAATATTCTTGATGCTTCGTCTATAACGCACCACTCATCTCCATAGATGGAAGACAGAGCCTCCACTTCTTCGATCTAAACAGAGGGAAATTAATAAAGAAACACATTAAATAACCATGTGTGTTGAAATTGATATAAAGGTTCTGTTTAATATTTATAGTCCATAAAATAGAATAATCATTAAAGGTCACATATCCTCCTCCTCTTCAACCAGTTTAAATAAGTCTCAGAGCTCCTCAAAACATGTGTGAAGTTTCTTGTTCTAAATCCACTCTGATCCTGTATTTGATCATATCTATAAACCCCTCTATTTCAGCCCTGGTCAGAACAGGCTGTTTCTGTGTCTGTACCTTTAAATATGTAAATGAGCTGTGTCTGACCATGCCCCTTCTCTGGAAGGGCTTGGGTAGCTGAAGCTTTCTTGCTCCATGCCTAATTGTTAATGGTGAGAAAGATGACTCAGAGCAGAACTAACACCTAGCTGTGGAAGTGTCACCCACATGGGGGAGGGGTTACTGCCCTTTGTGATGTCATGTTGTGGACTTTAGGAAAAATGCAACCCCCCCAGCCCCATTATCATCAGCGACTCCACGGTGTCTACTGTGGAGTCTTTCCGGGGGACCATCATCACCCAGGACCTCAAGTGGGAGCTGAACATCACCTCCCTCATCAAGAAAGGAACAGCAGAGGATGTACTTCCTGTAGCAGCTGAAGACGTTCAACCTGCCAAAGACCATGATGGTTCACTTCTACACTGCCATCATTGAGTCCATCCTCTCCTCCTCCATCGCAGCCACAGCAAAGGACAAGTGCAGGCTGCAGCGCATCATCCGCTCTGCTGAGAAGGCGATTGGCTGCAATCTACCATCTCTCCATGACCTGTACACCTCCAGGACCCTGAGGCGTGCAGGTAAGATTGTGGCCGACCCCTCTCACCCCGGATCAGGACTAAAACCTCTTACCACAAGAACAGTTTCTTCCCCTCTGCTGTCAGCCTCATGAACAATGTTCCAGCCCTCCCCCCTCCCCCCTCCTCCCACATAACCCAGAATCTCATCACCCCCACAGTCAGTAAAACATCACAGTAATGTGAAGGCTGGAACTGTTTTTATGCGTTACATTAACGCCCACTGGACTGTAACCTTTTTTCTTTACATGCACTCTATGAGTAGGTTACACACTGTCAAATGTGTTTGATTGTCAACTCCTTCAATGCACATTTTGTACATTTTGTTTCTTAGATTTTTACATTTTTAACTTGTATATTATATATATTTGTAATTGCTTCTTATATTTTATTATTTAAGTTCTTGCTATTTTTGCTTTATTGTCCTTTAACTGTTTCTGCACCAATACACCAAGTCAAATTCCTTGTATGTGTAAATGTACTTGGCAATAAAACCTGATTCTCTTTCTGATTCTGATGAAGCGTGCTGTATGAGCACACATTTTCTGAGCAGGAAAAAGACAGAGGATGGACTTTTCTCATAATTAGAGGGTTTGTAGACGGACTAGGGACACATTAAAAATATAATATTAAAATATGATAAAGTGTATTTTGCATAATATGTGACCTTTAAAGTCTGATGGCACAGAAACACCGAAAGCAACTGAATTAAAATAAATCCAGTCGAAGTTTATGCGCTCCATGTTCAAGTCATCAAAACTTAATAATGACGCTGTATAATATTTCAATAATAAATAATTAATAAAGACCATTAAATACCATCTTTAACCGTTTTGGGGTTTGAACACTTTTGACTTTTTAGTTTTTTAGTCTCTGTGTATTTAAAATGCAGATGTTTGTCTGGAGTCCTGAATTGAAATATAGTGTAACATAAAACATTAGCACACAAATAAAGGCTGAATATCAGACATTGTTACTTAGCATGCAGTGTGACTACTATAGTGCCAAAAAGTTAGTTTAATAATTCAAGAAGTCATTTAATCATCTTAAGGTTAAGAAACATCTTACCGAAAGTTGGACACTCCATGTATGAAAAACACAACAAGGAAGGACATTTTCAAAAGGCAGAAAGATGAGGCTCTGTATTCATGAACTTCAGAGAACTATAGAACTGAAAGGTGCACAAAACTGATCATTAATTGCCCAATTTGAGGATAATTACAGTTTCTGTAATTATTAAATGTTGTTGTTTTTCTTAAAGTCACATTTCACTTTGACTTTTACTCTTTTATTCTAAACCTGTCTCATTATATGTTAGCCCTGTTTTTGCTTGTTTTAATTAATTATAAATGATTAAACTAAGACTTTATTGAGATGAAGCTGCATTTGTGATTGGTGAGAGTTGGGCTGTGTAAGGAGCCCCTGCCCTGAAGATGGTATCTAGAAGTGTGAACGAGCCAGTGACTTGACACAGATGGAGCAAACTTTGAGCCTTAACCTTGAAGAAGACGATCTGAGGGGGATTGTTAAACAGAATCCATTTCAATCAGGAGAGACCAGCCTGTGAATCTGTGTCTGTCGGGACAGTAAGACTCTGTGGTCAGCGACTCCAGATCTGACCTAATCATTCACTATTATTGACGGACCAAAACACACAATTATAGGTACTAATTAGTTTGAATAAGTAGAGCAAAATTACCTTTAATCCTGAATATGTACATTTTGACATAATTCTTTATTTCTCTTGGATCTTATATGTTAACATATTTCCATATTTAATCCTCTCTGTGATTGTTAATGGATTTTTAGATGTCTTCTTTTTATGGGTCTTTTTGTCTTTGTGAAGATGTTTTTGGTGTCTTGTGTTTAGCACTATGAATTGTCCTGTTGCTGAAATGTGCCACGTTAATAAACCCTCCTTGCCTTAATCTTTAAAAAACGATGTTTTTAGTTTGCAAACCTCTTATGAAGAAGTGATCCAAACACATTGCTTTTTCAATTAACTGACTCAGCCATTTGGAGGGCCTGGTTTCCCCCCATTGTTGTGTTTATCACATTTTCCCCTGATTTCCAAGACCACCCAACACTTTTTTTTACATTTTAAAATCTACTTTGACCACATGAGCAACCAGTCACCCACCGTTTCTCTTCTTATAATCATTATTTATTTGTAAGGTCTGTCATGAAGAAATGCAGCTCAAGGGGATTTACAATTAGGAAAATCTATACATTGCTACAAATACAAAACAGAATGAAAAAAAACAACCACTTGCAAATATAATAGAAACACATACAGGTGTCACGTTGTGCTTGTTGTTGTGTGTTCATGTGTTTGATGCTGTTTTGGCTGCTCTGTTAATCTGCTGAGTTTCAAACTTGTTATTAAATACACACAGTGGTAGAAACCTGCAGTGTGTGCGTGTGTGTGTGTGTGCGCGTGTGTGCGCGTGTGTGTGTGTGTGTGTGTGTGTGTGCATGTTTTATTTCACAGTTATAGCTTAGTTTTTTTTTAACCCGGCATTTCTTCTATAACAGACTTGAAATATATGTCTGTCTCTCTTTTATCCACCTCGACTTTTTTTTCGCACATATTAAACTCCGTTATGATTTAACTGTCTGCAAACAGTCAGCGTTTGACTTCTACGCTCTCTGCAGGCCACATTCAAACACTACACCACAAGCAGCAGGGCTAGAAACAAACTTATCAGTGTTTCCTGAACTTTCTCCCGAAGGTTTCTCTCACAGGAGTATAAACTCACCTGAGCCTGCAGATCTCCTTCATCCTCAGAAGTCATGTCCGCCATGTCCTCATTTCATCCGCAAGAGTTGGATGAGAGATATGTGGACGATTGTGGACGATTACATTAAACGGACAGCACATGCATTACATGTTGATAATCAGCTGGTTTCATATGATATGTGGAGGTATGAACTAACTGCTTCCAGGGCAACGCTGATTGGCTACTTTTGACTTCCGGGGTTTGCTGTGTAAATTAAAGTTGACTGGACTAGAAAAAACCATGCAGCAAATTAAAATATAATGAATGTTTCTTATGTCATAAAATGACAAAAGATTGGCGTATGGCTTACTTACGCCACTCGAAAAGTGTTCCCACGCTTTAAATATTATGTCAGGGCTTTTATTTTGAAAGGGTGCGAACGATTTGGCCATGTGAGTTCCGTTTCGAGCGATCAGCTGATCGGAGTGTAAACAGACAACAGAGAGGTGTGTGAGGGTGAGGCTGGTGACACTTGATTTCAACATCGGGTAGTGGAAGTTCAACGTGGAGTGTGTGAGTGTGTGATGTGTGTGTGACGGTGTGCACAGCGCTGTTTCGGCTGTGCTAACGTAGGAGGAAGCAGCTCAGAGGGGCTTAAACCATCACATGCAGCCTCACGGAGGGGTCCATTGAGCAGATCTGCACTGAGACCCGGATCGGACCTCACAAGACCGGTAAAACCAGTAAGTGTCTGTCCGACTCACCGCCACACACACACATCAGCCTGATTCATGTCGCTGCTGCCCCGGACACAAAATCATCACTGCAAACTTTGCAGCATTGCAAACACTCACAGCTTGTAAATTCAGCGGTTTCTTTAGCTTTGTGTGTTTAAAGTTGTGCAGTGAAAGTTACCTTGTATAACCTAGAAAGGTTGTCAAAATGTTCGGAACTTCGATACTTTTCAAAACCAAAAAACGAGACAATCTGTTATTTGAATGATCCGTAGTGTAAAAAGTACCGAAGCTTCAAATAAAACTGCATCTATCTAATAAGACAGATGAGTAGGAGAGGAAGGAGGCCATCGAAATGCTGACTAAGTCCTGCACACTGTCTAAAATGAAAGAAAAGATTAGCATCTTTAGGCTACTGTACAGGAATGTTTCAAATGTCTGTGCAATGTAGACTATGTGTGCAGGCAGTGTTGAGTCCACAGTCTGTTGGGGCCCAAGGCAAAGACTCACAGGGGGCCCCTGCAACCAGCGTTCATGACCATCATGTTATAAATAATCTGACACCACCTACAAAAAAAAGCTAAATGTACATTATTTTTTTAAATGTCTAAATTGACATGACTAACTTTTTTTCAAAATATTAAACACTTTGGAATTTCAAAATATAAACATTAAGAATCATAAAAAACGTCAAAGAACAAACCCATAATGTAACGCTATAGCAGAATGAATGTTTTCCTACGTCTCACCCCCATATTTAGGCCCCCGTTAACGAAACGTCGACAATGTTTCAGTGCAATTTCCACATGATTCTACAATTTAAAACAAGTCAATCTCTGTTATTTACATCATAAGAATATAAATATGACATGGCTTTAAAGGACAACAATCATGTCATTAGAAAGGCGAGTAGGAGAGGAAGAATCCATCCAAAACTGCAGGCACACTCTTGCGCATTGTCTAAAGTTAAAAATGTAAATGTCTGCTTTTTAGCCAGTGTGCAGGAGTGTGAGTACAGTATGAGCTCAAAAACCATGAAAAGCTAAAAAACCAAAAAAATACACAATATTAGTTGTCTAGGATTACAACTTCTTTTTATTGCTGTTGCATCAAAACAGCACATTGTGTGATTTTTACTATCACATCAAAGTTTAAAATATTGGTATCCTGACAACCCGACTAAACTATATATTAAATAAATGAATAAAATATATAAAAAATTCAGACTATAAATGTAGAGTTTTCTTTTACAAGTATTAAATGTTATTACGGTATTTATTACCTTTTGTCTCCTCTTACATTTTATCTGCTGTAACAAAAGCATTGGCCTCACTTTGGTATCAATAAAGGTTGTTATATGCTAGTTTCTTTAATGCCACAGTGTCTGAATGGATGAGAAAAGAGTGTAATGAAGAGCAGGTGTGGTTACTGTTAGTGTCACATGATTTTCTGTCTGAGGTAAACCTGTCTGATTTCTTTTCAAAGCTTTCTTTGCACATGTCTGATTTGTCATCTCTGAGGTTTGCTTTTTTTTCTTCCTCGTATTCATGTGACCTGTCTTAAGGCCTCAGAGGGTTAACCATACGTCTTGTTGTTTGTGCATACCAGCGTTTTATTCACACACACACACACACACACACACACACACACACACACACACACACACACACACACACACACACACACACACACACACACACACACACACACACACACACACACACACACACACACACACACACAGAGCGTCATGTGGACTGAAGCTGTGTAAAGGGGACTGTAGGAGGAGGACTGGTGTCCTTCCTGTCAGGCCTGTCTGATGACTGACATCTTTTACAATCACACATCTTTTCTTCTTCTTCTCTCTGCTCCCCTTGTGACCCTGCACGTGTCCTTAACAATGACAGATGATGACGACTGATTGAGCAATAGAAACTGAAAACAACTTCTCCATTGACTTCTAATTGAACTTGTAATTCTTTTTATGCAGCTTTGTTTTGCTCTCATTTATTTGAATTGAATTTATTTATTTAATATTTATTTTATGCAATTGAACATAATTTCAATACAAAGCATGAAACTGATGTGCTGCATAAAGAGTATATAGCTATTGCTAATTTCCAACTCATGTCCCCAGTTGGGCCTTTGTGTAAACAAACAGATTAAAATGTACAACATTCGGTTACATAAAACCCCATAACACCATATGAGGATACATTCAAATACATGTACAACAATACAAATGCTACTAAACAATTTAGAATAAAGTTTTAAGATACTATTTAAAAGTGGGTACAGCTCTGGTTTGCTTTGAGCATTTCACTTGTTTTGTAAAAGATTTTAAGTCCTAGATTGATTTTATTTCAGGTGGTAATGTGTTCCAGAGTTTACAGCCTTTGATGGAGAAAGCTGATTGACCAAACGTAGATCTACCATGTTGTATGCTACAGTTTCCATTCACAGATTGTTGATACATTTAAAAACGTTTGAGGAAACATAAATGTATAAAGCTCTCAAAACTGAGTAGGTTGTGTTTTTTCAGTATGTGACAGTGATGCCACAGGACAGGTTTTTTGTCCATTATTTTCAGGGCCTGGTTGTATAGTGATGAGAGGTTTCTGATTGTAGAGGGTGAAGCTTGTGACCAAACTGTCATACAGTATGAGAAATGAGAGAAAATCATTGAATACATGAACACCTGTGTGTCTTATTAATGTTATTTATTGTGTTATAGTGATCATTTATGGATTGAATTACTCTTTTAACTCACATTTCTTTAATTGTTACTTGACATCTTGTTTTAAGCCTGTACAACACTTAGGTCAACAAAGCTTGTTTTAAATGTGCTATATAAATAAACTTTGACTTTGATACGATACCAAATATGATACGCTTTCACTGTACTTTTCTTTTCTTCTTCTTATGACAATGAACTTCTTTTGAAGTGAACATCATGTCATAAGCACCACCATGAGGAGTCTTGAAGTAGTGACACAGTGAACTGATGTATTGTTTGACCACAGTATTATGATTATTTTATAACATGAGTGAATTATCCTTAAATTACCGTATCGATATTTTTTCCCTGTCACTTATTAACTCGGTTTGCCCTCTGATGCCACAGTGATTTCATCAGTGTTTTAAAAATACAGCTCAAATCTGTTTTACAAATGTGCTAATCTAATGAAATATGCTGATCAGTTGCATTATGGGAAATGTAGGATCTTGTGTATCTGGGGCTTTCTCATCTTAGAGACACAAAAAAATACAAATATTTAATTGATTTCCATGAAATTTGGGAAAAACATTCATGTCAACCACAGGATCAGTTCTGGTTACTTTCTGGTAATTCTTTGTTTACGGATTTTCAGGCTTTTATTTTCACATGTGAAATGACTGAAGCTATTTGTTGGTTTTCGATGTTTGTGTCTGGCGTCTCCTCTGCAGGGGGTCGATGGACGAGCTGGATCCGGAGGAGCAGTTCCTGCGGTTCGCCCGCAACGGAGATCTGCCGGGGATCCAGAGGCTGCTCATGTCCACGATACGGGAGGAGACCCGGATCAACATTAACTGCAAAGGTAGAGGAAGGAGAGTCAGTCACCTGGATTGTGTGTGTGTGTGTGTGTGTGTGTGTGTGTGTGTGTGTGTGTGTGTGTGTGTGTGTGTGTGTGTGTGTGTGTGTGTGTGTGTGTGTGTGTGTGTGTGTGTGTGTGTGTGTGTGTGTGTGTGTGTGTGTGTGTGTGTGTGTGTGTGTGTGTGTGTGTGTGTGTGTGTGCGTGTGTGTGTGTAACGCAGACATCTTTTTTCTTTCAAAGGTAAGAAGAAGTCGAACCTGGGCTGGACGCCTCTTCACCTCGCCTGTTACTTTGGACACAAAGACGTCGTGGAGGAGCTACTTAAGGTGGGTGATTTTGTTTCTTTAGATTTGAGATGACTGTATTGTTTATGTGTGTGTTTGTTGTTCCATCCTGCAGGCCGGAGCAGATGTTAACTTGCCAAATAACATCGGAGACACACCACTGCACAAGGCTGCGTTCACAGGAAGAAAAGTGAGTTAATGCATCATCTGTTTCACATTCTTCTCTCCTTTTTTTATTGGGGGATGGTATGCTTTCGGGGGCATGCATTCTTTTCCATTCACTCAATCGTTCATGTGTCGATCAGGAGGTTGTCATGCTGCTGCTGCACTATGATGCATGTGCGACTGTCATCAATGGGACCGCTCAGATCCCCAAAGATGTGACTCAGAACGCAGAGATCAGAGGCATGCTGGAAGGTGAGAGAGACACACCATCATGACAACGATCCACTTTTTTTAACGCTTGAATATTCAACACGCAAAAAATGTTCATAAACTGTTTGCATTCTAAGATCGTCCTATGTTCTCGTTTCAATCATGTTACTGAAACCAGCCGCTGAACGAACGGAGGAGAGGAAACTTGAAGAGCAACTTCTGGAAGCTGCACGAGAAGGAGACCTCTGCACACTGACTCAGCTGGTTAGTGTCACAACTGAAAACCTGCAAAGTCCTGCACTTTATTTCGTATTTTTGTGTAAAATTTAATATTTTAAAAGCAATGCTATCAGTGTGAAATATTTAGACACTGCTTCATTGCAAAGATTGCTATTACAGAGGATGAACTGCGACGAGTTGAAATCCTTTGAGCTTTTCTTTTAAAGCCTCTTCACAAATACATTGGCAACACTTTGGTGACAAAATGTTGGCAACGTATTTACATAGATGTACATAGATACATAAAAAAAGAACACAGTAAGCCTGAGAGTGAAAGCATCACATGACTGTGACTAAAGCTGAAGACTGTCTAAATAAACTGACGGTTACACTCCCAATTATCTCCACATGTTCACAAGTTCAGACACGAACACAGACAACTACGCCCTTAATATCTCATTGACAACAACACAACTGGCCATGAAAGCCACATTATGAAAATCCCTGACAAAAAAAAAAGTTTGCATTGTGAGTCAAAAGAGTTTAAAGTAACTTAAATCCTCTGCAGCCTGTAAAATGAGTAAAATGAAAGAGTCCCCCTGCAGCTTCAGGCAGAATGATAATGGACATTTGGGAGCAGATGACTTATCATTTGTTTGTGTCGTGTGTGTGTGTGTGTGTGTGTGTGTGTGTGTGTGTGTGTGTGTGTGTGTGTGTGTGTGTGTGTGTGTGTGTGTGTGTGTGTGTGTGTGTGTGTGTGTGTGTGTGTGTGTGTGTGTGTGTGTGTGTGTGTGTGTGTGTGTGTGTGTGTGTTCGCTGCAGCTCAACAGGAAGAACCCTCCAGACATCGGCTGCACAGATCTGCTGGGAAACACTCCGCTGCACTCTGCGGCATATCGAGGCCAGAAGCAGTGCGCCCTGAAGCTGCTGAAGAGCGGAGCCAACCCCAACGTCAAGAACAAGAACGGTCAGTTGACCGAGCCGTCACTCAGGAAACACATTAACATGTATTTCACTGTGAAATTCAAAGAGTGTTATTTCTGCTTTGTCTGTGACATACAGCTCTATTGTTGTCCAAAAAAAAAAAAAAATCCAATGAGCCTAATTTCCTCTTCCCACACAGACAGGGAAGAGGAGCCTGGACGAGAGGGACAGACTCTTTGTTGCTTTCAGTTGAAAGAAAATAAATGAAGGATAAAAAAAACACAACATTGAAAAATATAGTGATAGAGAAACCCAGAGAGGCAAGTGAGTAAATGTTTATGAGATTCCATTTTCTGAGCCTGATTGAATTAGTTTTCAGTTCTGCTTATGGCTAAAAGGTGATAAGCAGAAGGTGAATTATTATCATGACACTTGGAAAAACACCTGACAAAATTTTAGCCCTGTTTTCAGAAAAGTTACCTAAAAATGATAAAGTACTTTTTTTGACCCATTTTACTATTTTCTTGTTTTTGGATCTTAAAGGTGACCAATTATGCCGATCTGTACTTTAAAACTCACATAGTGTTTCAAAGCCGGGCATCCAAACTAAACGTCGGCAAAGTTTCAGATCATGAGGTTTATGTTTGTCGGAGTAATCCCAGGATGAGTCTTCAGAGGGCGCTATACAATTTGTTCTGCCAAATCATGACGCGATAGTTCCCTGATATCGAACCAAGAATTTCACCAGACGGCTTCAAGGGTCTACGTAAGCTGTTGAAAACCTTTTACATAGACATAGACTCCAGCATATGTCGCCCTTGAGCACCAGCATGAAACCAAAACAACTCGTGCTGCATTGTTGTGTTAGCATGCTAATGCTAGTGATCTTTATTATGTTCGTATCTTCACACTGCATGTAAATTTACCTGAAATGAGCGTGATCTAGAAACACAGTTAAGCAGTGAGTACAGTATGTTATTCTTCTTTTCTCTAGTCCCTCAATTAAACAACTTTTAGACGTGAGGGGAGGAGTCAGCCGGCCGTCATGGCGATGTAAACAAAGTGAAGATAGGACTCTGAAAACTCTGAAAACATCACAGACAGTGGGACTCGGGTGTTACACCCATTGTAGACAGTCATGACTCACAGAGTTATTTTCAGAGGATATACTTGATTTATGGGTCAATGACGTCACGCTAATTTTTTGTGTCCATAAGGTTTAGTTAACTTTTAAAGGCTTAAAATTTAAACATAAATGCACAAATGACATGCTTTCATCCTTTGTTTTGAGGACCTAGTCTAAAATGTATATTTATTATACATTTTTAGAGAATAATTGGGGTATTTAGGCAAAAATGTCTAAGTGGTGTAACCATTGAAACTTAGTACCAAAGAATTAAACTTCCTTTAAAAAGGTTAAATTTTCATATAACACCCTATGAACTAGCCTGGCATAATCTTACAATAGAACTGTTCAATAGTAAATAAAAGTAATGGAACATCATTGTTCTTATTATTATAATTATTTTAGGGAAATCATGTCACCCAGTCAAGTACCAAATTGTCAAAATGGTGTAACCACCATTGAAGGAGCCATTTTGTTAATATAGTCATCATATCATGTGACAAGAAATGATATCACAAAGAAGAACCCCTGATGGTCCTAACTGCTGCACGCCATGTTTAGCAACTCTCTTTAAAACATGAGATAATTTGACATTTTTAGGGCGTGGTCAGGTATGTCAAATGGTATGACCTCAGAAAAGCATTAACAATTTATGATAATTATAAAAATTTGTATTCACTTTGAAAATTAGATTTGAAATGTTCACACCAGGAAATGTGCTTACATAGGTCTCAATGATAATGCCTGTCAAATTTGATTTGAAGTGAAAATGTCAAATGGTGTAACCGGTTACACTATTTGACTTTTATGAAAAGCCTTTCTGTTAGAGGCCACTTTTGTCAAATATCAGTATTTTTTTTATGTTGATTAAAGTGGTTATTCATCCACAGCCTTATTATCAAGGGTCTAGGACAAAATACCCTGGCATTTTGTAAATGTTTAGCTTCAAATTGCATATTTGTGTTCCATTTACTTACATTTATAGAGGTGCACTATGTAGTTTTGGTAGAGAAGTGTGAAAGTTGGAGAAATTTACAGATTATGTGGTATATGTCCATCATAACTCTAAACACAAACTGTCCTCAGATGAAAATTTGGTCCCTGTAACACTGTTTGAAGATAAAATGGTACTGGAGAAGTTATGGTGGTGGGCCCGCAACAGTGAAAGCGTAACTCTCCTGGTAGCTTTATATCTCCAAACAGTGTTCCAGGGACCCATTTTTTACTTTGAATAAAGTTTGTGTATTCAGTTCAGAAAATATATCAAAGAATTGTTTCACTTCTCCAACTTTAAAATTTCACCACCAAATCTACATAGTGCACCTTTAAACATGTATAATCTAATATATGTATGTATGCTGTAATATTGGCACCAGTAGTTGCATTTTAGATGTGTCGGCTATTAGGGGCCATGTGGTAGTAGTATCAGCGTGTCACTACCTGGAGCTTGCTTGCCAAAGTCTGGTACTATAGAAGGTGGCAATGCTGTTTGTGCTGGGATGGCCATGATGTAAAGAAGGAGAGATGTAAAGTGTTGCCTGTGGGTATGTTATCCTTTGATTAGGGTACAAGTACCTTGAGTTTATACCAAATACTGAAGAAATTAATTCCCCCTGAAGATTTTGGTCAGATGTTGTAATTTACTTAAGATATGAATTAATTAAGGATGCACTGATCCTGACTAAGACAGCTAGATCAGGTATCAGTAAGAATTTGCCGATCTATGAGACCCATCCAAAAGGCCGATCTATTCACTTCAGTTTTATACTATTCTGTGTTTAAGACAAATGTGCTACATTACTGTCATCAGCGTACTGGTATTCTGTGCACTTTGGAAGGTGGCGCAAACATTAAATGGAGGAAGCTAACAACAATTTCTCCAAGAAACAATGGCCTTTGACTGTAGAAGCAGTATGGTCAGTTTGTGTAACTGGTTTGCGTCAATTGGTGTAACCAGTATTTCTTGTAAAAAATATAATAAAACACAGGACAATTAAAGTGGAATAAAAGTAGTCCTCTATTGGAGTGAAATAACATGTTTTTTAACAATTTTTACATAATTTGCCAAAAATTAATTAGAAAACAGAGGTGTTTACAGCTTTGTGCCCCGCTCAGTATTGAAAAAGGGCATAACTTATAAATTTAGGGATAATCCTAATAAAATCTATTTTCTTGTGCTATTTTAAAATGAAGTAATTAAAATCATGAGTACGCTTGCATATACTCTAGATGTATAAAAGAATCAATATTCTTAATTTTTCAGTGGTTATACCACTTGACATTTTTAGGTCCATTTAGTCTTACCTTTTGAAAAAAAAGGTTTAAATGTCATTTAAAAAAATACAAAACCAACATGAATACAAATCTCACATTTTAATGAACCTGATGCATGCTTTCAAATTGTGTTTTTAAAAGATTTTTGAATTGGTCATCTGAACTACCCTTATTTGTCACTGACCCTTATATTACATTTAAGTGTGAAAAATCACATATTAAGCCTTTAAGGTTTCACAGACTGACATCATGAAAGATTAAAATGAGGATAATACGTTAATTTACGTCAGATTTAAAAAATGGAATTAAAAAATAATGATTCCTCTTTGCCTCTAAAGGCTTCCACTGAGTAAAGTTACGCTTGTCCTTGAACAAATTGTGCATCTCAACATTGCTTCAGGACTGTGGCTTGTAAAAGTAATTTTGATTGAAAGACAGTTTACTCATTTCACATCGCTGTGACTGATTAAGCAGCTGTCACCTCTGAAGAAGGTGTCACCTTTAATCATAGTTGTCTCCCCCCTCCACTGTCGTCGAGTTCCGTTGTACTAAAATCCCTCCTGCTCATTTTTTGTTTTCCATTCACAGAGCAGACAGTGTTCGACCTGGCCAGTGATTCAGCGATGAAGCAGGTCCTTGAAATCATCGTTCATCGAGTGAGTTACATGCTCAGCTGATAATCAGATTCCCTGATGTTTCTTTTTTTTTCTTTTGCAACTTTGTGTTTATTGGGCAATCCAAACATTTTTCATTTTTCCGAACATAGTTCAGTTCTTAAATCATTATTCTTTTTTTTTTATAATGTTATACAAAACAGTAATAGAATGCAGAAGAAGAAAACAAAATGGTTGTAATAATATCTTAGTTTGCCCAATTCTTTTTTGTAATAGAGAAAAAAAAATTGTATTTGATTTGTTTGTTTTTTTAACTTTTTTAAAATGTTTTTCTTCTTCACACCTCTGCAGGGTTTGACCCGACATGTCAAGAAGTTTGAGGGACTCCTCTGGAAGGTAAACATCTGTTTTTATTTTGAGAGAAATCCGTTCATTAAAGATGGAGAAAACTGGCAAGATGAAGAAGAAAACAATTTAGCCTATCAAATGCATGCATCCATGCTGCAAATATAAAAAAACACAAGAACAAATACAATCAGGCTTTAACATCTGTTGTGGTTTCCATGTGATTGCAAAAACCACTCTTAGCTGCAGATTCAGCCTTCAGTAAATAGATTGAAAGGTGAGATAAAATGTTGTTGTAGCTGCAGAAGCTGTGGTGCAGGAAGACATGATTACTGTTAATGGAGCACTTAAAAGTTGCAAAGGACATGTCATGTAAGAGGTGCATGTTGCCTTGATTCCTGATTTTTTGAAAAAGGACCTGAGATTAAAACTTGCTGATTTTCATAAAGCTTTTATTCAGACCTCTTTAAGCACACTTTTTATGTAAGGCTTTGTACGGATTTGTCACTGAAAACAGGAGCCTGTTGCAGACAAAAGAATAACATTTCAAGAGCTGTCAGAGTGAATTGCCGGTCATAAAAACCTCAACAATGTGCCGAGAGCCTCTGAAAGTATGAGCTGCGTAGAGATGCAGAGAAACTGCACATGAGGCTGAACACTGAAGAAGTTTAAGAAGTAACAAAATGTAAAGTTTAGTTTGAGTCATGGTGCATGCAGAAGCACTTTTACACCCATTATTTGTTAAATCAAGAACTGAGTATAATCACCCTCAATGCACAAGTGTAGGTGCTATTCACATTCGGTATTGAAAAGAAAGTTTTTTGAAAAAACAACAAAAGTTTAAGTTTAGTTTTAGAGCTAATCTTTTAGAAAACTGATGCAAACGTGGCTGGCTGATCTTTGAGTAATGAGCTTTGAATTTGAGCTCTTGTTTGTTGAGTTTCTAAATTCAGCAAAAGCTGTATTCAAATTTGTAAACGTTTTTTCCGATTTTGTTCTCTGCTCCTTTCAGCCCTGACTTAATTATGACTTAAATCAATTCAAATCAGTCTGCTGATTCCTCTCTCCGATTTTCCCCACAGAGCTCCAGATTTTTCGGCTGGCGGTCGTACTGGGTGGTCCTTCAGGACGGGGTTTTATCCTGGTACTCCAAACAGTAGGTGCTTTCTCTTACCGGGGCTGTGCTCCTTGAGTCAGAAGTGAACATTTCTCCGTCACAGAAAAGATGGAAGTGCTGCACACTTGGATTAGAAAGGTAGCCTGTGGCAGTGACAGATAAATAACTCCAAGCCTCCACAGAAAATGTCTCATCTGTGAAAAGAAAATAAGAGAAAAACGTCACCTCTTTCTCTCTCTACATGAAGGTCAGAGGCAGCTGCCAATATCAGAAGGCAAGGCTGTAAGTCCCTCACACATGCTCACTGTCTGGTAAGCCAACATTCAGATTTGCAGAACTTTTTTATTTTTTTTGATAGATGTGGTGAATATTATGTGAGTAAATCACAGGGGATTCTTTTGTCATCGATTCCAGATCAAAGCCAAAGATGACTGCTTTTTTACGCTCAAGTGCTTTGATGAAAGTGTGCATCACTTCAAAGTGTCGCCAAAGAATGACCCAGAGGTGACGAGAAAAGTAGGTTTTACTCATTTGGCTGTTTCCTCTAATATTCTCAGAGTACACCCAATGGCAATCTCCGTAAATCATTGACACAAGCTCGGATCTCACTAAGCTTCACTTCCAATCATCATTTTTTTTTCCCTTTCAAGCAGTTTCTAGTCTCGTATTTGGACCTGATGAATTTAAAACCTGTAACATATTTTGAAGTGCAGTTTTTCTGGTGAATCGAAGATAATTTTTCCAAAAACTGCCCAATGAGATGGGGGGAGTTTTAACTTTATCCAACATTTCATAAGAAGCAGTATACAAACATTAAGTCAAGAGCAAACAACAATTCAAATATGCAATAAAGTGAAGTAGTCGTGAACACACACAAGTGAAAAACAAAGGCACTGTCCAACGGTCTCACTTCTCTCTCAGTTAAGAAAGAGACAAAGGCTTTAAGTAAAAGGGGATCTGCCTGTTTCAAGTCATTCAGGAGAATGTTCCCTGTAGAAGGGGCACCAAAACTAAACACTCTTTTCCCAGTACAAAAACATCAATAGAACGCACCCCATAGTGGCTTCTTGTTATTTGAAGCTATGTACATAAATAAGAAGCAACTAAACCAAGAAGAGCTTTATACATAAGACTAGGCCATTGTATATGACTGTAACCTATATCTACAACCAGTAACATATCTCAAGGCACAGTGATACACGGTGTCCAAAACATTAGCCACATTTTCACGCTGGTTATCGATATAAATGGAAAATGAAATGGGTCCTTAAATCGAACCTTGGGGCACGTCTTTTGAAACCTCTATAAAGGAAGAGGGGGATCCTGTCATCTGCAGGCATTGTGTCATGGCTGACAGATAAATGGCTAAGCAGGATGCTGCTTGTTTTGATATACCAATATGATGGAGGATATGATCAATAAGATGTGATCTACTATTTCACATCCTTTTGACAGATTGATAAAAAAGCTACACAAAATTCTTCACAATCAGTTGCTTGAATAATGTCTTTTAAAACCTTAAGTGCAGCTGTAACAGGATTTAACCCTCAATATCTCAAGTTGCAGATAGAAACATACAAATCAAAAGACTTTCTCTGTAAATTAATCATTACGGAGTTTGATTGTCAAAAGGAACCAAAAGTAAACATGTTTCTGTCTTTCAGGCATGGCTGGATGCTCTGGAGGATCACGCAGCTTACAGCACTCACTACTGCTCCCAGGAGCAGGGCAGCGAGGAGGAGGAGGAGGAGGGGATGTCACTCGGGGAGCTAACAGAATCCCTACAGGTGGCTCGAAGCAAAAACATCAACAATAAACATGTCAGCAAAATGACCTGTGTGTGTTTTCACTGAACCCATCCCCAAGTCATCTACAGCCTCTGTCTTACCTCCCTGACTACAGGCAGCAGAGACCAGCCAGAAGAGACTGGAAGAGGAGGTGGCAGCGTTCATGTCCCTGCTGAAAAACAACGGACTGGATGAAAGTAAAACTTTTACCATTGAGTCTTTCTGTTGTAAAATAACGGTTGTAAAATAACGGTGGATCTGATATAAACCACTCGATTGGAATGAGAACTATCAAATTAAGTACTTCGCTAGGAATTGGCTTCTAAAGACTTGAGACCTGACTTGAACCTTTCATAAAATTCGTCACTTTGGACTTTAACCAAAACAACTCGAGGCTTGGCTCAGGTTAGACTTGAATTATATCACTGAAGACGTAAGACTCGAAAAGTCTTTCCCTTTAAAACTTGAGACTAGACTTATATTTGGTCTGAAAGACTTGAGCTGTGACTTTGAGTGGCCTTCTTAAGACTTGAGACTTGACTTGGACTTAATGTTAAAGAACTTGATTCTTGATTTGGACTTACTTATTAAAGACTTGAGATTTGTCTTGGACTAACTGCTTAAAGACTTGAGACTTAACTTGGACTTGCTGAGTAAATACCTGACGCTCAGGTTGGACTTACTTTTTATAGACCTGGGACTCAGACTTGACTTCCTGTGAAGAGTTGAGAGTTGGCTTGGAATGAATGCTTTAAGAGCTGAGACTCTGCTTGGACTAACAGTTTAAAAAGTTGAAACTAGCGACTTGAACTTACAATATAAAGACCTGGGACTCGGCTTGGACTTGGTGTATTAAAAGTTGAGAATTGTCTTGGATTTACAATTCTATAGACTTGATACTTGGCTTGGAATTACTGTTTAATACTCAATCTTTAAGACCTTGGACTTCGTTCTTAAGTAATTCAGACTTGAAACAGAAACAACACGTTGACTTACTGCTTAAAGACTTGAGACTCAGACTTACTGCTGAAAGACTTGAGACTCAGACTTACTGCTTAAAGACTTGAGACTCAGACTTACTGCTTAAAGACTTGAGACTCAGACTTACTGCTGAAAGACTTGAGACTCAGACTTACTGCTTCAAGACTTGAGACTCAGACTTACTGCTGAAAGACTTGGACTTGGACTCGTGCTTAAACACTTACTGACTCGGACTTGGCTTGGAATGTGCATTATACACGATAGAGAGAAAAAGTGAAAGAATCGTTGATTTGTTACAATCTGGAGTTGTTTTACATACTTAAATGATTCTATTACCACATTTCTCTGCTTGTCCCTTCAGAGTTCCCGTCCTCCGTTCTTCAGATGTTGCAGCAGATCTGTGAGCTGTCCAATGAGACAAGTTCTAGTCTGAGTGTCTGCCTGAGTCTGTTCTCCCGACAGGAGGGGGTGAGTGTCAGACCCTGTTTGAACATCAACACCTCCGCACCAAGGATACCGCACGTTCCCTTCATTTATATAAAAAATGAAAGGTTTTGTTATTTAGCGGATTCATGTTATTTAGCGGTGAAACATTTTCTTCCAGCACATTAAAATGGAGAGTTTCTATTTAACCAGATCATTATTTCTCCAAAGATGCAGACTTTTCAGGTCTCTTATCTTCTAAGGGCCTCAGGAGAAAATCACATTTCTTTGTACACTGAAACAAAAAAACTGATTATATAATCATACAATAATCAAAGATCTCTCAGACATGCAGTGATGTGCTTTATTCTTTAAAGAATAACATGTAAAAACAATGTGTTTCATAAAAAGCGGTGGCACATTGTCACACCTCAGTATGATACAGCTCAGTGCGGCGCGTTGATTATAAGCTGTCAGACTGGTTGTCTTTATGTCTGATTCAGTGTATATGATTATAATGGAAGGAGTCAGAGGACAGATTACATCTCTGCAGGACAGAAATAGAGTGCTCAACTAGTGCCATATCTGTGATCATGTAAAAAAACGAACTTTAAAAAACACCTGACTGAACTAAGGACTTTATGTGGGGATTCGTGTTATAACACCCATCTCTGTTCTTATTACAATATATTAAAAGCATAAAAAGGCCAGAATTATATAAAATATGTCAAGAATATCACCCAATATAGAAAGAAAAATGTAATGGTGAAGTGTCTTGAAATGAGATGCGCTGAAATTAGTACATAAGGATACAAAAGCACAAAAACAATTCTGTGGTTTGGGTATGAACAGCGGTGAGAGCTTGCATGGAGGGACGGTGACTCTGGGACGCCGGAGGTCACTGTTGAGTCTTCCTGAGGTGTAGTGGGTCTAACTCAATGAAATACCTGTGATGACCCCGGTGATGTGTTGCTGCACATTTAGTTGCATGGCCAATGAAAGGTGTCTGATCCAACCTTCACAACAGGGTCCTAAGTCTCTGACTAGACTCTTCTCCTCTGTCGCCCCCCGGTGGTGGAATGAACTTCCAAACTCCATTCGATCTGCAGAGTCCCTCTGCACCTTTAAGAAAAAGCTAAAGACCCAGCTCTTTCATGAATACCTACTAACTTAATGATGATGGTCTCCATATTATAGATGATGATGATGGTAATGACGATGGTTTTTGTTTGATAACAATGACTTATAAGATGGTTTCTATACTGATTAGAGCTCTCAAGAACTGCCCTCAATGTTGTGCTTTGCCTCTGGTCACTTCCTGTCAGCACCTGTGTGTCCAATCAGACTCAAAGCTGATCGTTTGCTCTTACTGACATTGTTCCCTTTTTTCTAGATCCTTGCTTGTATTTACTCTCTGATGTACGTCGCTTTGGATAAAGGCGTCTGCTAAGTGAATTGTAGAATTGTAGAATTGCATGGGTTGTGTTGATGGCCTTTAGGGGCTATCAGGTGGGGTAGGTAATTTATCAGTAAGGAAAAAGCATTGAGATGAGGCTGCAAGGTGAGGGGAGGAGTGGTTCCTCACTGAGCTGTTTAGGGCACAGAGTGTTGTGTTTATTTTAAACTCAATATGCAAATAAAAGTATAGATTTATTCTGAATTACAGCTACCCAACTGTCTTTCAAAGTGCTGATAGAAAATGTGGTTTCCTCCTTTCAGTGATGCATCAACTAGATAGCTATATTTTCCTGATTTTTTTTTTTGCAAGGTGGGGCCGCTGGGCCAAAAAAAAGATTTTTTGTGTTCTCAGTTTAACATACGGTATACGGTGCCTTCAGGGTTCCCACCTGTCACTCACCTGTGCAGCCTTTTGAGCTGTGTGTGCTGAGGCAGAGGCCAAGATAAAAAGGCTCACAGGATCTCTGAGCTCACTTCATGAAAAGGTCTGCTGTCAATGTGAATAACTCAAAACATGCACAATATATCTCAGCATGCACACTCAGTATGCATAGAGCAGCAGCAGGCCTGAGTTCATTCTGCCTGTGAAGAAAAGAGACCCAGAATCACTTTTGAAGCACCCACGAGGGGGTCAATATCTCTGTAAAGTCCAGGCAAGCAGGTGAGCTGTCGTCTGTCATTATAAAGCACTTATACCACTTCACCTGTCCGCTCTGACACAGATAACCATAGTGGAAGGAAACATAATTTCGGGTCATTTCTTTGGCAAGCTGCAGTTGCACATTTGAGACTAAAGTTCACAAAAAAAAGTGCAGAATTCTCCCTGAGCAGACCTGAGTTTCTGACCAGGATTATACTCACAGTTACAGAAAACAAAATGTGGGCGGAGCTAAGCTGAGCAAAGATAGACTTTGGCTGCATTTTCCATAATCCCAAACTATTTAGTAACCAAGGAAAAGATTGACTGTGTTCTTATACCATGCATACCAAAAGCAGCCTAACAAACAAATGTGGTCAAAATGCCCCTTTTCACGACAGATACATTTTGCTGTTTGGGGGTCAGCGTGATTTATTTTGCCCCTAGAAATACAAAAAGAAAAAAGATTTGAGCACCTGTTGGACTCATAGGTGGTTTGAGGTGCTTTTTGAGAAGGAAACAAATCAGTGAATCAATCAAATCAATCACTGTGTGTGTGTGTGTGTGTGTGTGTGTGTGTGTGTGTGTGTGTGTGTGTGTGTGTGTGTGTGTGTGTGTGTGTGTGTGTGTGTGTGTGTGTGTGTGTGTGTGTGTGTGTGTGTGTGTGTGTGTGTGTGTGTGTGTGTGTGTGTGTGTGTGTGTGTGTGTGTGTTCAACATTATCAAAGCCTATAAGAGATGTGTAGATCACTGCAAACTTGTGCTTCATCTTTTCATACAACAGTCAGTCCTCAGATTATTGAAAGCACTTTCTAAATAATGAAGGGAGTTCAGGTTCATCTAACAGGTTCAAGAGTAAATAACAGTAGTTCTATTGTTTACTACAAACCGTATTTTCAAAGGCTTTTCACATATTGGACTAGAAGTTTTGTACTTGGATGGAGACAGAAGTCTTATTTTCTGAAAGGTGCAGCTGTAAATACTTCACATCTTGACTTTATCACCATCAATTGTGTGTTTTTAAAAGACGAGGTTTGTATCTGAAGCTGTAATTCAATCCTGTCTACTCCTCAGGAGTCATGTTCTCCTGCAGGTTATTTGAGACGACAGGGGGGGGCGTCGCGCTGTCGTCTTTTACAGATAAACAAGGCTCGACCTTCTCCGTCTCTCTGTCTGTGTGTCTGTCTGGGTGGGTGTGTTGGTTCTGATGATGAGCGGACAGTGTGGAGAGGAGGGGTCAATCTGTCAACTGTGTGTTTGATCACAGCTAGTCGGATTTCAATAAGTGTGACAGGAGTTCGATCACAAAGTTTGTAACCATGGAAACACAAAAGATTGTGATTCCTGTTGTTTTGTCGGTTTCTCTGAGTCGGCCTATAATGAATTATCTTTGTGTGTTTGTGTGTGTGTTTGTGTGTATGTGTGTGTGTGTGGAGCTCAGGTGCGCACTGTGAAATTGGAGCAGGAGGTGGAGAAGAATAAGATCCTCTCTGAAGCGCTGCAGACTCTCGCCACAGAGCACCACGAACTCGAGCAATCCGTCGTCAAGGGATCCTCGCCTCGGAGCGCGCTCAGCGAGGATGAGTTCCACGACGCCCTTTCAGGTGAGTTGACGAGTTCTGGAACACGTCGAGGTCGCTGCTGCAGCTGATTCTGTGACCTGCTCACGCCCGCTGCTCTGTCATTCATTCACCTTCAGGACGCTGGAAATACCTGAATGTCTTTGGTTGGTTTCCCGCTCCTCAGCGTGACGTAAGAGACATCAACACCTGGTTGTGATGAAATCATTATTTTCCACATTAATGAGTGCCAACGGTGTGATGCCTGCATGGTGGAGTCGTATTTTAACTACAAATAGAATCTTTATAGTTTTAGCTTGTACTTTTTCCTTTTTTAGTGGTATATATTTAAACGTCATCAGCATAACAAAACAGCTTTTATTCAGAGATGTTTTACGAGCTCATGTAACCAGTTCTGTGGATGACAGGGATGTAGAGCCTGAGTTAAATAAGTGAAGATGCATGTGGGGGTTTGCATTCTGTGTGGCAGAGCATGGTTTTGAGTTGTACTGTTTATATTTTATTGATATTATTCACAATTGAATACATTTTTATAATAAATGGGGAAAAAACGTTCAGCAGTTATTCTCCAAACATTTGGAGTTCTTGTAATTTGTTGACAGGAAAAATTCCACATTTTAGATACATTTTTTTACACATCCTAATTTCCGAATATTTCAATTTTATAAATATGATAATGTGCAACTGTGTTGGCTTCTTTAATTGTATTTGACTTCTGTGTGTAGTGTCAAACGTTGCCTTAAATATTTGAACTCGTCGCTCCTCCAAGTCAACCCCAAGATTCATTTTGTTGGTAGGTTTTCATGTTGACATAGCATCTTTCAGGCGTCCCACAGTGCAATGTGTGACTAGTACGCATGAGTACTTGCGCGCTGGGAAAAGGAGGCTGTGACGTGATAGCGCACACACATTTGTTGGTGTGCGCTTTGATCTGCTTTACAGTCAATAAAAAAATGAAATCGTGATTATCACAATTTTCGATATCTGGAATTTTAAAAATACTTTACTGTGCCACATTAAAATGCTAATTAAACTAATAACAGCCGATTGCAACACATCCCAGATAGTTAATATTGGATTTTGGGAGGGCTTAATCAGAATTCAAGTGGGCACAGGTCACCTTGGTCCCCCCTTTGGATCCCCCACTGCTGCCCAGCCAAGAGTACCTGAGCTCATCCTTTCATCCATACTACTACGCATACGGAGTATAAACTACGTGTCCACATGCTGTCAGTGACTCAATCTCGAGATGTGACCTGTGAGTGGATGATAACACAGAACGATGAGGAGAAATACATGTACTGTATGTTCAGGACGATGATCTTTTGTTTGTTTTTATCAGGGTAAAAAGAGACTCAAGTCTGCAGAGTGGCCCCTGTATTTCTCATATTCAACAGAACTGTAGAAGAACAACAGGCTTCATAATCAAACACAGTATTGCATTACTTAAGCTCGTGTTGAAGGTAAATTAACACATTGGGCAACTGTTGTTTCTGTCTAAGGCAGATCAGATTTGTTTATGACAGTGTGAACAGTATAAACCAAATGGAATCTGATCTTGTCAAATCAGATTTGGAACACTTTCAGTCTGATACAGGCCACATTTCAAAAGCAATGTGAACAGTTAAACAATGGAATCAGAGCAGAGGCAAAACATCTGAATTATTATCAAACCCTCCTTAATAAGCACTATTAGATTTTTAAGCCCTGAACAGTTCCTCTTACTTTTTTAATTTATGTTGGAACTGCGACTAAAGCAGGAGTTCAATTTGCTGTTTATCCCTTTTTGATTTGATCTTTTGTCTCCTCCTCTGTTAGACTCGGGCTCGGAGGGCTCCCTGAGCGGCTTTGAGACTGTGGCCAGCCATTCCTGTGAGGAGGAGGAGGACGACGACGAAGGCTCTGTCATGTTAAGCAGCCCCGGCAGCATGTTGCAGGAGGATCACCATGGCAACAAGGCTGAAGCTCAACCCAATGGGATCACAAAGCATAGGTCAGCGGTACTGTTAACCCGCCCACGGTTTCCTAAACACCCCCCCCCCTGCCTCATCCACATCGCTTTGTTATTGTTTCTAAAATATCTCCTGGATGCTGTTTTATTTATGTCGGCCATCTTTGTTTGTCAGCTCCACATCCTACCTCGAGTCTTTCTGCTTAAGGCTGTGAATAATTTAGAGTCAGGTCCGGCCTGCACACAGGAGAGAGAGAGAGAGAAGGAGTGTGCTGAAAAGACAGTGCAGTCTGTATGTTGGAGCTGTTAAATATTGATAAGGTCACAGTGCAATGGAATAATCCGTCTGCGGTGTTAGCTAATCCATACAGGCTGCTTTAGACTGCAGCCCGGACTATTTCAGTTGATTTTTTAATTTAAATTCAGCAGTATGCTAGATTATTTCTACCTGTCTTATATACTAAACTAATGTCTATCCACCCTTTTAGCTCTTCAGGTGATTTTTTTTGTACCTGTTGGACATCTAAGATAAAAATGCAGCTGAATGTGAGACGTCCTTTGTACTTTGTGTCTTTGGGCTTGATTCCAACATGTCACTCAATACATCACCGGCTTAAGTCGACTATTAATGATGCATACATGTTGCCTGCAGCTATTATATGTCTGGTGCAATCACTCTAATGAGGACTATTTTAAAGCATGACTTCAATGCATCAAACAAAACTTGTAAAAAGTGTTCTGTGTGTGTGTGTGTGTGTGTGTGTGTGTGTGTGTGTGTGTGTGTGTGTGTGTGTGTGTGTGTGTGTGTGTGTGTGTGTGTGTGTGTGTGTGTGTGTGTGTGTGTGTGTGTGTGTGTGTGTGTGTGTGTGTGTGTGTGTGTGTGTGTGTGTGTGTGTATTTTTAGGGCTAGTTTACCCTCACCGATGTTTTCCAGAAATGACTTCAGTATCTGGAGTATCCTGAGGAACTGCATAGGAATGGTGAGGGAAAAAAAAGTGTTCTTATCTGCCATAGTCTATGCAAAGTTGGGTTCTTTGTTTCACAGAATTGAATCAGATATTCATGTGTCCCGAGCCGTTTTCAGATGTGCACTCCTGAAAAAAAGTAAAGTGCAATTTCAGGAGGTCTGACCCTGGAATCCCCCCCTGATCTGGTTGTTCACACATTCTTCTCACAGCGGTAGACTTCATCTTTAGGACAGGAGAGTGGGCAGGAGTGAGGGCTCCAACAGCAACAGTGTCAATCATACAACTTTAGAATGAAGTATGTGCCTTAATATCAACGCTATGTGTGGTTTGACAGTCACAGTATCAACAAAAGAGTGAAGAATAACATCATGGAGAACAAAAACACATCATGCAACAGTTTAATTACGCACACAGAGATTGACCTGTCGTGTGCAGACAGTCTAAATACTAGAGGTCTGACAGGAGAAACTCCTGCAATTTGTGTTTTTCAGGAGTTTATGTGCAAGTGTGAATAAACCTCCAGAGTATGAATCCAGAAAGCCTCGGTAATCCGGTTGTTTGCTTCAGCACCACAGATTGAAATGTGCATCTGTTCACTACTTTGGCAAGGAATGTAATAGGAAGATATAAATGAATATGCTTAATTTAACACTGTTGGAATCTTTTATCAGAGCTGAAAATAATCACATCTTAGATAATTGATGTTTCTTCTTTCTGACCAATTTGTTATTTATTTTTTTTAGCCTAACATTTCTTCAGATTTTCAACGGGGGGGGAAAGTTAATCGAGGAATGTCATGTGCGTGACGTTTGTGGCATGTGTCATTTTTTACACACTTTGAAGCACTTCGATTTTAGACTAAGCTCCATTCAGCTTAGATCTGCCGCAGACAGTGTGGAGAGGATTGTCAAACTTTGGAATTAGAATGCCCTCTGCTGGACAAACTGCATGATGACATGAGTATAAATCACATCATTAGTTATTTTCTGCATAATATGTTCTGTAAAAAAGTTAGACTTTTGGTGCATATCAGACCCCTAAACCAATGTATTATCCCAAACTCAACAAAGCAGAAGATAACCTCGTTGGTATAATCACTGAGACTACATTGTTGTGTTTTTGAAAATCTTCTGAGACATATGTGATGCTCTGAGCAGCATGCACCATATGGTTGGATGTTTCTGTTCTTCCAGATAAGACCAGGAAAAAGTTCCTGCAACTTTTATGGGACATAAAGACCCTTTTAAAGCAGAGTATTAAACATTATATATACTACATTTCAGTCAGAAAGTTACTTTATCCATTTTTCTCTCAGTTTCTCCTCTCGTCTCTTTACAGGAGCTCTCAAAGATCACGATGCCGGTGATTTTCAACGAGCCGCTCAGCTTCCTGCAGCGTCTGACGGAGTACATGGAGCACACCTACCTCATCCACCAGGCCAACAAATCCTCCGACTCTGTGGAGAGGATGAAGGTAAATGTGCTCGCTCACATCTAGGACACACACAAAAACAAACTAAATTATCAAGGCCACCATAGACCAGCAACTCCTGTGTGAGTATAATTACTGTTTTTTTTTCAATGAAGTCTGCAGTTGAGGGAGTCATGTAACAGCTGTTTATGGTTAAAAATGGTATCCTGTTTTTTACTTTAGAGATCTTCACCGCAACAAGTGTATTTGTCTCATTTCTATTTCCACGTATCAGAATGAATTCAGGCCTTATATGTTGTATTTTTATATCTTTAGATAAAACGTTTATTTGAGCCTTCACATACAGATATCAAACAACTGTCCCTTTCTTTAATTAGATGTTTGTGTTTGTGGGTTTTCAGTGTGTGGCTGCATTTGCTGTGTCAGCTGTAGCGTCTCAGTGGGAGCGCACAGGTAAACCATTCAACCCTCTGCTGGGAGAAACCTATGAACTGGTCAGGTGAGTGAGCTCATACATCTCATTATTTAATTCTGAGTCATGTGTCACATGACAGGTTACCAAACTTTCTTCCAAACTGTGATGAACCTGCCGTCTCTTTGTTTCTGTCTCAGAGATGATCTGGGCTTCAGGCTGATCTCGGAGCAGGTCAGCCATCATCCTCCGGTCAGCGCCTTCCACGCTGAGGGTCTAGAACAAGACTTTGTGTTTCATGGATCAATTTACCCCAAACTCAAGTTCTGGGGTAAAAGTGTTGAAGCAGAGCCAAAAGGAACAATCACACTGGAGCTGCCCAAGTAAGAACATTACTTGGGCAGTTTCAAATGAAGAAGATGTTTCAAATGAAGAAGATGTTTTTTTATCGTCTTCTGTTTATTAAGTCAATCAATCAGCTGTTACTCTCTAAAGACAGACAAAAAGATGTATTCACACGTGCGGTGGCCTAGTGGTTAGTTTTGCACGCCCCTGTGAGGTGCATGCTGTATGAGAACTACAACTCAGGACAGTCACGGTTCATGTCTGAAAAAGGGCAAAAATAGTTTCAACAAGGCCTGAAACATTAAGCTTCCTTAACTTTTGTAAAGTCCCTTCTGCAACATATTAGTTGAACTTGTCAGTAAAATCAATAAATAAATACAAACAACTTCAATTTCTGTAGTTCATTTGAAGGGAATCAAGTTTTGAATCATGTTAGAATTTCAAACAAACAGTTGATTTGCTTCCTGTTTGGATAAAAAACTAACATTTTTTTTTTAAAGAAAGTAAGGAAATTCTGGTAGAAACAAAGTTATGAGATCAACTTAAGGCAAGGCAAATTTATTTCTATATGACACTTATAAGGCACCTTGGCGATTCAAACGACATCAAAAGCATCATGACCACGGGGAAAGAAACATTAACATAAAACATTTAAAATCATTAATACAAACGATTAAAAATCACAGAGAAGACTTAATATGAAAAGATTTCAAACAGATATATATATATATATATATATATATATATATATATATATATACATATACATATATAAACAGATCTAAATGGCTCACAGTGTTGCAGTCGATTGTTTTTTGTTATTTTATTAACAAATGTGAGCGGAGCCTCCAGCCTGCAGCATATCTCAAGGACATCTCCCTCCTGACATAGTCGAGGCTTTTTCCTACTTTTTCTTCCTTTTACACCTGAAAAAACTCTGATGTTTCAAATCCCTTCATCTGCAGGTACAATGAAGCCTACACCTGGACAAATCCAACATGCTGTGTTCACAACATCATCGTGGGTCAGCTGTGGATCGAGCAGTATGGAAGTGTTGAGATCATCAACCACAAGTAAGAACATCATTCAGTCCATTCACATCAGTCTTTATATTCATCACTTAAGAACCTGATAGAGTCCAGGTTCAATATTTTGAGGAAGTTGGATGTTTCAGGAGGAAGTAGGACAGAGGAGCTCTTTCTGTGACTCAGCCTGCAGTGAGCGAGTGAGAGGATAAGTTCCTGTTTTTCTCTTTTTTCCCCACAAAGAACGGGTGAAAAGTGCTGCCTGAACTTTAAACCATGTGGTCTTTTTGGCAAAGAGCTGCACAAGGTCGAAGGTTACATTCTGGATAAAGGGTAAGTAAGGCTTAAAGTGATCAGAAAGACTTGCATAATTTGACTTAAATTCTGAGGAAACACGCACGTTGCCAGAGTAACAAGTGACCAGTTCTCTGAAGGACATTTCTATTAGCTGTCTTTGTGCAAAGTTAACTGAAGCTCAGATCATAGTTGGAGACACTGAAATTATTCCAACTACAACTCAAAGAACAACAGAGGGAAAATAATGATCGTTCACTTTGGCCCATGGGTAAAGTCTCTGTGCTCTGAATCTGCTGCTGCCATGTCGGCTGCTTCACTTTTCATCCATGTGAGGCTCCATGTTCATTAGATGCCTCTTCTCCATGAAACACTTTCCCTCCATACTGTTTGTCTTCACACTTTTACCACACGGTTAACTCTGTCCTGTTATATATACTGATGGAGACCCGGATAAATCAGACTTTATACGGGTTAGTGTTCAAGCATTTAGGATAAAACAAGTCTGAAGGTTTGATACAAAATAAAAAGAATCATTACTTTTCATGAAATGCTTTTAAAGGCTTTATATGTGATTTTTTGATCCAGCAGATGTCGCCCTTGAGCACCAGCATGAAACCAAAACAACTCGCGCTGCATTGTTGTGTTAGCATGCTAATGCTAGTGATCTTTATTATGCTGGTATCTTCACACTGCATGTAAATTTACCTGAAATGAGCGTGATCTAGAAACACAGTTAAGCAGTGAGTACAGTATGTTATTCTTCTTTTCTCTAGTCCCTCAATTAAACAACTTTTACACGTGAGGGGAGGAGTCAGCCGGCTGTCCTGGCGATGTAAACAAAGTGAAGATAGGACTCTGAAAACTTCACAGACAGTGGGACTCGGGTGTTACACCCATTATAGACAGTCATGACTCACAGAGTTATTTTCAGAGGATATACTTGATTTATATTACATTTAAGTGTGAAAAATCACATATAAAGCCTTTAAAGCCTAAGTCACAAGCGTTTTATTTGTCCCTTTAGGTGCACCATAGGTAAGACTACAGTGTCTCCCTGTAGTCACAGTGATGAAAAAGAACAATAGGGCTGCATCTTTGAAGGTCTCATAACAAACACTCAGACAGCTCAGCTGACAAGTCAAATCAATATCCACCTTCAGACATCAAACTTTTCACTTTTTTACCGTTTAGCTGTTTTCATTTTGTTTTTGATCCGAGTCCCTTCTTCTGTGCTGATGTCAATGTCGTTACCTTTGATCTACCGGAAGTATCTTTTTTATTTTAAAATAAAAGCAGGTTTTTAGAGGGACTAGGTTAGTGTTAAGTGCACGCCACATTTATAGAGGCTGTAGTCCTCAAAGCGGGCGGCCTGGGTTCGAATCTTCCCACAATTCATTCCCCACTCTCTCTGTCACTAATTTTCCAGCTTTATCCACTCTTATCTACAATAAAAAGCCCCAAAATAAATCTTGAAAACGAGCTGGTTTGAATTCTAATAGGAAGTAAAGTATCCTTTGGACATTACAGAAATTAAAAAAATGGCAAAAAAATTGTGCTGGAATGCAAAACAATTTTATTTTAAATATGTGAATAAAAATGTGATAAGTCAAGATTAATTATTCAAACACAGCGATTAATCACAATAAAATAATTAAATTGTTTGACAGCCCTAATTCTTAGTTAGAAGTTGAAATAAAGATACCAACAAAAACTTAACTAAAGGTGCACATTTTTCTTACTTTGTTACTTCTTATGTAGATTCATATTTGAGATCTTAAATTATTTAAAAGGCAACAACACAACTAAAACATAATTCTTCAGCTTCCCATTCATGGGAACAAACGTGATTTAGTTAGGCTTTTAAACATCCTTCATCTTTTTAAATCAGGACATATTTTTATTCCTGGAGTCACAACAGCGTGTGTTCAGAAGCTGTCACAGAAAATTTAAATCATGATGCAAATAATCAGTGAATAACAGCTTTTTGAAAAGGAGAGCTTAAATAAAATAAAAGTGAAAGTGAACAGACTGCAAGGAGAAAACATGTCAGGTTGATTTGTATTAGTTTTCACTTTTTACAGCCATCATGAGATGTGTAAATAAATAAAAAGATCAACACACACAACACAAGAACTTAAAAGAATAAAGAGCTTTGCAGAAAGTACAAAACATGACGGCAGCATGTCTGCAGAGAAAACAAGCTCTACAAATTATGATGGTGTTCCAATTTACAAAGATCAGTCTGTCTTTGAATTTATATATATTTATAATAAAACTAGATCCAGCTTCACTTTCTGCCAACCTTGAGCAGTGTGTTAAGTGCTATTTTATTAATATGCTTGCATTATTACAATGTTCTTCCTGGCAGTTTAAGAGGGATTATTTTCCAAGGCTGACAGTTCCAATAAAAACAACAAAGAAAAACAGACGGTTCAGTCAGAAATGAAGGAAAAGTCGTTTCCAAAAGAATACTGCTAATAAACCTGATGACTGAAAACAGATGGAGCAGGAGAATAACAGGAAAGAAGCGGCATGAAATACTGATTTACCAAAGGTGTTCAGGCAAAATATTTGAAATGCAAATAGACAAACAGATGAAAGGACACTTTAAGAAGTTCTTTAGCACACAGAGGGGAGATGTTGCTGTATCTTTATTATTTTGAATAACAAAGAAACAGCATGAGGTTGTCTGGGACAGGTCTGCTCTCTGTCCCCAGAGTCAGAACCAAACATGGAGAAGCAGCATTCAGTTTCTGTGCTTAAATCCAGGTTGAAGACACACCTGTTTACAGCTGCCTTTAATTAAACAGCTTTAATAAGATTTCAAACATTAACTCTGCACTGTAACTTTAAGCACTGTTTATATTTTTACTTTATTTTTTTCAATTAATTTCATTTGAATTATTTTCATTTGAACATATTTTCAGATTGAATAATTTCAGTGATTTTTAAATGTTGTATTTTAATGTTTCTTTTCTTTCCTCTGTCATGATGCTTTTGATGTCTTGTGTGAAGCACTTTGAATTGCCTTGTTGTTGAAATGTGCGACATAAATAAACTTGCCTTGAATGTTTAGTTTGTCCATAAATGTCCAGAAATCGTCCTTTTCTATTAGCCTTTTTCATCCTAGCTTTAACACGAGGGCATTTTGATGTTTTCCGAGACAAAGAAGTCTTGGTCTTGTGGTTGTTCCTGACGGTTGTTTGCTTGTTTCCTCAGCAAAAAGAAGCTCTGTGCTCTTTATGGGAAGTGGACAGAGTGTCTACATGTCGTCGACTCGGCCGCCTTCGAGACGCACAAGAAAAGTGACAAGAAAGGATCAGAGGAGAAGAAGAGCAGCAAGGCGGTATGAGGGAGCAGCAGCGAGCCGCACACACAGTGATCATAAAGTGATGCATCCTGCATAGAAAAAAGACAGATAAAGACGTGTCAGTTTGTGTGGTTTTTGTGCTCAGGGTTGCAGTGACGGGCAGGATGGCGCTGCATCTACAACTGTAGACACAGTGGACGTGATTCCTGGCAGCCAGCTGCTGTGGAGGATCGCTCCCAGACCGCCAAACTCTGCACAGGTCTGACAGATCACAGAACAATTTGAGTTTCTCTTTCCTGTTTGTGAGCTGTGAGGTTGTGATATTATTTTTTTTATTTTATTTCAGATGTACAGTTTCACCTCGTTTGCGATGCAGCTGAACGAGCTGCGGCAGGAGATGGAGGGAGCGATCCCTCAGACCGACTGCAGACTCAGACCGGACATACGAGCCATGGAGAATGGGGACATTGGTAAGAAACTAGTGAGGAACAACAAAAGAAACAGAAAAATAAAAGACATCAATCTGCAAACTGTCTGATGTTGTTTTATCTAACAGACCTCGCCAGTGAGGAGAAGAAGAGATTGGAGGAAAAACAAAGAACAACTCGCAAAAACCGTTCAAAGAATGACGAGGAGTGGAAGACGAGGTAGAACTCAAAGAACAACCCTTTCTTTACTCACCTGGATCTCATGCTATCAGCTCATTTATTTATTTACTTTAATTGTGACTTAAATGCAGTTGTAGTCTTTTGTTAGTAAGCCTGTGTTTTTCATGACCTCAGTTTCAAAACACTTCTTACCGGTGCTTATTGTTGCTAGGTTACAGAAATTAATTTGTAAATTTGTGAGCTTTGGAGTTGCTGATGTTGTAAACTTGGAGCAGGACCTAGCTAGCCTTTTTGAGTCCTTTTCTAAAGCTAAGCAGCCGCTGCATTAGTCTTGTCATATTCACTACAGATGTGTAGAAAACAGATGCATGGAAACATTCATATCTGTGAACACTGTTAGCTCAAAGTAAGCCTTATAAATGTTTCATTTTCATAAATGACATGAACTTTGTGAGCATTTTTCACTGTGGCTAAAAGTTCATCTAGTGTCATTCATTTCCTGTTCTACTTTTATCATCTCCTACTCTAATGTTTCATACTTTGTTGCTCTGAATTGCTCGACCTAAATCTTCATTTTATCTTCATGTTTGTGTTTCTGTTGCGTCCTCTCGTTGATGTTCAGGAGTCCCGCCCTCGGCCCGAGGTCAGAGCTGCTTGCTCACGTGTGTCATGTGATCCTGTGTTCTGTAGTTTGCATCCTCTACACTCAAATCTAACCTCTCACTGTGTCCTGCAGTCTGTTTTCAGATTCGCTATTCACTGATGGTAGAATCACAGTTACACAGATTCACTTGAACGCCACATTAAGTCTTCTCTCCCAAATGATTTCCCTCCCTGCTGTTAAACAGAAAAAAAATCCCTTTATTTTCGGCTAAATGAGCCAAACCAAAACTGCTGACTTTCATGCAAATTCTCAAATCTTTAATAAAGAATGCTTTACCTTCACACCCTCCTCACTTTCTCTGATTAGTTTGAGTTTGGAATAGAGATGGGCGGATGATTCTGGAGCTCTGAATTTCGGGTGAATTCCTTCTTTAACAAAGAATTGTACAATATCTGTTAGAATCTTCTCAGGATCTTGCCAAATTAAATAATAAATTAATTGAACATTTTCTCCTGATCACTCAATATTTCATTATGATCTAGCAAAGTGTATGGTGTCATAGTCAGGATGTCAGGAAATTTTCTCCGTATCCTGGAAAAATGTTTCGAGATCTCACAAAATCTTTTCAGGATCCCGCAAAGGTTCTCTCGGATGTCGCAAAAATTTGTAGAGATCTTGAAAAAGTGTTATGTTGAGATTTTCCCCTTTTTTGGCAGGATCTCTGAAAGGTTTTTGAGATCTCAAAAGTTTTTTTCGTGATCTCGCAAATCTTTGTAGGGTCTTGAATACTATTGAAGGATCACTCATATTTTTCAAAGAATTTAAAAAAATATCTTGATGGGGATCTGGTAAAGTTTCATGAGTTTTAAAAAGTTTTCTCCAGATATCGCAAAGACCTAAATTCTCCTCTGGTTCTCTTGAAAATTGCAACATCCAAGAGTTTCTGAAGATTTAAAACATTTCCTTCAGGAGATCGTATATTATTCTCTCGGTATCTCGCAAAGTTTCTTGAGATCTTGAACAATGTCTCGGGAACATTTTGCTATTTCTTTCGTAGTTGTTTTTTGACCTCCATTGTCCCTTGAGGGGCTCCGTAGTAGGACAATGCAAAAAAAAAAGAAAACATCCCCATGTTGCACGATAGTATCTATGCAGTAAGTGGGGGTGCTTCAGTCCTTTACAGCCACTAGATGTGGATGTTGTGATCCAAGGTCTGAATATTTTTTCTGCACAAACAGAAAGAAAGAAAGCTTCATGAGTCTTCATCCGCCCATCCCGAGTTCAAATCTTTTAGCTGGTTGGAGTGATGTAGGTCTTGATTAGCCTCTGTTGTACTTCCAGGTGGTTCCAGCAGGGGCAGAATCCCCACACCAGCTCTCAGGACTGGATCTTCTCTGGAGGATACTGGGACAGAAAATACAGCTCACTGCCGGACATTTACTGACGGACATTTCCTGCTCTCTATGAGCCAGCGTTAATAATTTTTGTTTTTGTTTTTCAAAGGAATAACTAAAATATGCAAATATGCGTGGCCTTAATCAACTTTATTGTGATGAAACTTCACAGAAACATTAATAATAATCATCAATATTTATTCGTTTTAAGGTGTAAAGCAATTTGAAAATGCTGTGAAGTGTTGGACTTTTACCTACATTGAGACCGGTTTATTTCTGTGTTTGGACTTTTAGCTCTGTGGTTCATGATTTTAATGTCCTCCTGTCTCTTTTTAATGAGGTTTGAAAATGTTTGTCTGTACATATTAATGTGTCATTTACATATTCCCATCCTTCAGTGACCTACACATCAAGTCATATACATTTCCAATCTTTAAAAGCAGTCGATAAATATGTGTTTGTCATTTTTGTTGCCTTTTTTCGATATCAGTGTTTCAGGAAATATATCTGTATTCTCCCCTAATATTTCTGCCTTCAGCACAAAAAGATTATTTTCTATATCAATGTTACACTTTTTAGAAATTGACTGCTACTTCTTTTAAATGTTCTGTCTGTTGTGCTCAGTGTTTTAAAAGCACACACACATATTGAGCTCTTTAAAGAGTTTGATTCATTTTCCAGACAATCTAAAATGTGTTTCTCAAACGATCTGTGAGACAGATTGATGATTATGGTAGAACAAGTTCACATCATGAGGAAGTAACTGATTCCAAAGGTGTTTTACCTCCATGGGGCATCGAGAGTGTTTGACGCTGAATTAAAACACATTCATGTATTTGTGCTTGTTTTTATTGTTTATGTGATGTTTTCAAGAGAGCAGGACCAAGTATAGAGGAATCTAAAAAATAAAAATCATGTAATCAAACGTTTCTTGTAAAAATTAAGACTACACGTTTTGTTTTTTAACTTAAAGGGGACATGTTGTTAAAAATCCACTTTGACAGTGTTTTTGAACATATCTATAACCTGAGTGTACCAACCCACAAAATGTGAAATAAACCCATCTAGTCCATTGTTTGTGGTCTGTATAAGTCTTACAACACAGAGAAAAATGATCCGTTTCCAATGTGCTCAACTTGTGACATCACATTCTGCTAAAAAAAAAAATATGCTCCCCTCCCCTGGTATCTCCACCCATGGGGTATGTCTCAGTTCCCTTGATTGCATCCAGTTGTCCTCCACTGCCCTCATCCACTTGCACCTTAGTCACTCATAAAATCCCCACCCCAGGGTGGATTCTCTCTCTCTCTCTCTCTCTCTCTCTCTCTGGCCTAAACTTGTTTGTGCGGTGGTTGTGGCTGGTTGTAAATAAATCATTGTTTCCTCAACTTGGGCTGTTCCGTTTCGTATTTGTCATGGCCATGGAGCCAGGTTATGACAAATTTGGGGCTCGTCCGCCTTTTTCTCTTTTGTGCCGTGACTTTGTTAAGAAAGTTTGATTTATATTTGGTAATTGGTACTTGATTGATCAGTTAATTTGGTTGTTCGTTTGGATCATTTTTATTTGGCTCAATTAAATATTAAGCGTTCAAATTCACTTTAGTTTCCCTTTTAAGCAGGTTTTTGTTTGGATTTGAGGTGTTTCGTGCTTCAAACTTTTGTGGATTCTGTGTGCGTAATGGTGGAGTGCTCGCTGCGCACGCAGGAGTCTATTGTTCTGTGGTGTACCTGTTCGCGGTAAAACTTTTGTCGGCTCGTGTATGAGCAGGAGTTTGTTTGTTGGAAAGGACGGCCTATTTGGGTTAACAGTGCAGGTTGAGTTCAGTGATTTGTTAGTAGCTTTGTGAATTGTTTGTTCTACCTTGACGTTGATAGTTTGTTTGTCAGCTGCTTATTGTTTCCAGTGCCGGCTGGTACTTGACAGTTTCCTTTGCGTAATCGGTAATATAGTGTGGTGTTTTCCCCTGCTAGGCTGAAGCGACGTTCCTCATATGGGTTTGTTGTGCGGGGATAAATTAGGAGTGCGGTGAACATGAGTGAAGCTTTTGCTTAGAAGCATGTCCGTGGTTTCGGGAGGGTTGCTAGCCTGCTAGTTGCCCAACTGAGCCAGCGGTCACTAGTGCATCAATACCCAGCACTGCAGCTGCTATAGGGTAGAGTTTAGGTAGCTGGGTTTATGTTTAGATAGTGGGGAAAATCCACATTGGGTTAAGGAGTGTTCCTCTTGGTGCGCACGGGTTAGTGTCTCTGTGTCTGCTGGTTTCTGTGTGTGCGCAAAGCTGACAATTGTTTTTGTTTTTGTTGTTGTTGTTTTTCTCCGGTTCATTGTCAAATAAATTGTAAATAAAAATGTCTGAAATCGAATTGTTTATTGCTGATCCATCTCAGGAATACCTGGATGTTCCAAAGAGCAGTTGCTCATGATTGCGGAGCATTTTTCGGTGATGGTTGTCGGAGACAAACGTGTTAAAGACAACATTAAATCAGCGATCAAATGTAAATTAACTGAGGAAGGAATACTGAAGGAAGATAAAGAAAAGCCATCTAATCCTACTGCTTTGTCTTTTCCGACGCACGGTTTGACATTTGAGCAGCAAAAAGAGATTTTGTTAATGCAGATGGAACATGAGAGAAATAAGCAGGAATTGGAAATTAAGAAACAGCTTGAGCTTGAACGAATCCGTCAACAGTCTGAGAAGGCTAAGTTAGATTTGGAGGAATTTTGTTTGTCTTTGGTGAGGGATGGCATGTTGTCTGGCGAGGAGCAGGGCGCACAGGCCCATGGCTCTTCGGTGCATCGCTTTGATGTTCATAACTTGCGTCTCTTACCACGCTTTAATGAAGAAGACCCAGACACCTTTTTCTTGTTGTTTGAACGTGTGTCTGGAGCAAGATGTTGGCCCGATGCTGACTGCGCTCTGATGCTTCAGTTTGTTCTCACAGGGAAGGCGCAAGAAGCATATTCTGCTTTGAGTTTTGAAGACAGCTCCAGTTATGTTAAGATAAAGTCAGCTGTTCTCAAGGCATATGAACTCGTGCCTGAGGCATATCGACAGCGTTTTAGAGGCTGGGAGAAGAAAAACATTCAGACATATGTGGAGTTTGCCAGGGATCTGTCCACTCATTTTAAGTGGTGGTTAACTACGCTTGATGTTACTTCGTTTGATGGGTTGTGTGAACTGATGATTGTGGAACAGTTTAAAATTTGTCTTCCGGATCACATAGCAACTTACATTAACGAGCAGAAAGTGCCAACTGCTACTGAGGCCGCTGTTTGTTCGGATGAATATTTGTTGCTGCATAAAAGCAGGTTTTGGGAGCATCCTGTGGCGCAAGAGGCTTCCGGTTACCGTGGTAACGTCTCTGTGTTGCCGTCTGAGATGCGTTCGCAGAAACTCGGATTTTCGAGACCTAAATATGAAGGAGGCCTTAATGTTGATAACCGGAATGTCTGTAACTATTGCCACGAGGAGGGACATTGGAAGTCGGATTGTCCAGTGTTAATGGTTAAAACAGGAGGGCCAAATATTAAACCAGCTGCATGTGTAGTCCCTGTAAAATATTGTTGTGTTGCTGAGCGGATGACCTCTCACTCTTGTGAGACTGATGTTTTGGCAGCATATGCACCCTTCATAAAAGATGGGTTGGTGTTGCTTGTGGGAACCAATGAACAAGTTCCCATAAAAATCCTGCGGGACACTGGGGCTTATGATTCCTTCATTGTTGGTTCTGTTTTGCCTCTTTCTGGAGAGACTGACACAGGAGACTGTGTTCTTAGTTGTGGAATGGGGTTAAACATCCTTCCTGGTCCAGTACCTGAAGTCACTTCTTCCCCGGTTGATCCTGTGTCGGATGAAAGCTCTAAACCACTCCCAGAGGTTCTTTCATCCTGTACGGTTACACATTGTATATCCAAAACTGATGGAAACATGCCCCCTGATGTGGTCAAGGATGTTGTGTTGGAGGCCCTGTCTCTGTCTCTGTCTGAGCTTCCATTTTCGCTGTCACACAGGAAAGTGAGGAGGCAAAGAAGTGATCCTTCTTTGAGGGACACATTTGAGTGTGTTTTACCTAGTTCTGGGCTAAGTAGTGCGGTGAATGGCTGCTTTAGGAAATTGGTACATGTTAGTGGAGGTTGTGTGAAAAAGAAAAGGAGGCATAACTTTAGGCCAAGAGAACAGGTTCCCATGTTTATACCCATCGTTGGTTCTCCGTTTGAGGCTAAGTTCTCAGGTCCTTACATTGTTGCGAAGGAAGGTTCTTGTTTGAATTGTGTTGTGGCCACATCAGGTCGGAAGAAAACCCAAAGTGTCTGCCATGTTAACCTCCTGAAGCCATACCACTAGCATGTCGCTGTGGTAGATACAGGAGACGTTGTGTAGTGCTGCGCTCAGCTCTAGCTGTGTCTACAAAGACCGTTAATTTACTGTGTAGGCTTAATATATTGTCCTTATGTTTTCCGATACCTGTTCTGTATTGTCATGCCGTGTCTATCCTCTTAATTTGCTCCTCAGGTACCGGGGGTTGCTGAGAATGGGTGGGGGGTGCAGGTGCAGGCAGTGAATCCAGGAATAAGGTCATGTATTAATCTAATTATAAGTTTTTTGAGTAGAGTCGTTTGTGTAATTGGGTAGGTGTTTTGCACAGGGGTAGGTTATGGTGATGTTGTGCCAGTGGTCGGGTGGGGAGGGGGCCGGTGGACACCGACTTTGGGGCGGGGGGGGTGACGGTCACTGCCTTAGTCAAGATCTTACTAATTGATTCTGTCCTCCCTAGTTCTAGTAGAGGAGTTGGATGGTCCAATCGAAGGGAAACCTGGGCCTGTGTCTGGCAGGGCATAAAAGCCCCAGCCCAGGGTGGATTCTCTCTCTCTCTCTCTCTCTCTCTCTCTCTCTCTGGCCTAAACTTTGACTTGTTTGTTTGTGCGATGGTTGTGGCTGGTTGTAAATAAATCATTGTTTCCTCAACTTGGTTCCGTTTCGTATTTGTCATGGCCATGGAGCCAGGTTATGATAATACATTTTTTAGACAGCTTTAACTCTTTCACTTCAGAGCACTTTTAAGGTCTTTCTTTTATCTAATATTTATACCTCCTTTAAAGTTAATTAGATATATTTATTTAGCAATGGCCGTCGCCTGGACACTCCTCAGATGGTTTTATCAGAGGCCCTGGGAAACCGGAGGATTTTAATTAACAATAGAGCTCTGCCTGCCTCTCCTGCACAGTGGTCTGGTCACCTTTTTATCCAAATTTGAATACTGTCTTAGAGGGCTTTTATGAAACACTGTTGTGTGGTTTTTAATGAGGTTTTTAAGTATATTTTAATACCCATCGTCCCACGAGTGCCTGCGCCCCTCGTAGCGTCCCCCAGAGGACACTGCGCCCTCTACTTTACCTAACCCTACCCTAACCCTAACCTCTCACACTTTCTTGCCTAAACCTAACCATCCCCCCCTTTAATAACCCTAATGATTCATTAATTTCATCAAAATTCATTGATATTAAAAAATGAGCTCATTAAAATAGACAGGAGATTAAAAACATCAATAAATACATATCATCTTAAAGGTTTAAGGATAAATATTCAAGTATAAATTCATTAAAAACACTTTATAAACATGTAAGGGGGATTAAATTCATTTATTTTGGTGGCGGGTTAAAAACAGATTGGCATAAAAGGGGTTAAAAACACAACACGGAAAGTCAAGTATGAACATGCTCCCAGAGCCTATAAATACAAATGAAAGTGAAAGCAGCTCTCCTCATTGTTGCTCTGACTGCTGCAGTTTTCACTCCAGCAGTTTGCAATCCTCTCACTTCGCACCTTTAATATTTTGTGCCTAAGCCTGAAGCAGACCTACACGGTCGAAAATGAGGGCACGTTTATTGATTTCATTCAGGGAGAATTTTGATTTCAAAAGTTT